ATACGTTTAACAATTCTATGTTTAAGGGGTTTTGCTATATTCTCGTTGAATGCCTCCGAAAAACACTTTACCTTATTTAAAATGTGTTACGTCTCTCCTGTGTGGTCCACGGGCCGATTTATGGCCGTTTTATAATTTTTATGTACACAGTTTTCTCTCTATATAAAGGTTTATATAGAGACACTGTAGAGAGAAAACCGTTTACATAAAAACCCATAAAACGGCCATAAATCGGCCCGTGGACCACACAGGAGAGACGCAACACACATTTTAAGTAAGGTAAGCTTTTTTATTGAAATCCTTTCATTTTCGTAGATTACAGAAACGATAGGTTTTTTTCCCATACAAATCCTTATATTTCGAATGTTACGCAACAATAATGCCGATGTTCGCCGAAGCTCATATTTCGAGCTTGGGTTACCTGCGTGTCGTCGGACAGAACCAAAGTGTTCTTAATTGTGAATGGTCAGTTTCTTCACTACAGACCCTACCCATCCTGTAATATGATTCAAAGCAACTTGGAAGTTGCAGTAAAAACTCTCTACTTGAGAGTTTATTCATATAATACAAGACGCTCTAATGATATTCGCTTACCCCTACCCAGAACAAACTGGGGTAAACAAACTTTTATTTTTCACGCCGCGAAAGACTGGAACAGCCTTCCAAATGATTTAAAAGAGTGTAATATTTTATCTATTTTTAAATCCAAGTTAAAAACTTTTTTAAAAGATCTCAGCTAATTTTAAACCTTGATGTTTTTTTTGTATAATCGATTTTAAGATTTTAAATTTTTAAATTTGTTTTACTTGTAAACATATTTTACTTTTTTCGTAATTATTAATTAATTAGTTAGATTAATGCATGAGGGCCCCACTGAAAACCGCCTTGGCGAGTTGGGCTCCCTCTATAAATATTATTATTATTATTATTATTATTGAAGTTCTTGCACCTAATGTGCAAAGAACATTTTGGAAGACCTTGTCGGTTGTACGTGTGACGCAACGTGAAATCAAAACTGAATAGCACAAGGCCACGACATTGTTCACATTGATTGAGAAAAGCTTAATTAGTAGTAGAGGAAGTGGTAGGGCCTGGCGAGACCAAGAAGAATACGGTCAAATAAACGTGAAGGGTGAATTGCAACATGTAAATTTTAACTGCAAACTGGTGGTTCCAATCCGTATGATCAAGCTACAGTGATCACGTAAAGAAGCTCTATTATATATCAGTACCTACAATTTAAGGGGGTAAACTGCCATCACCATCCTACCAATGGCTCTAATAGTGAACAAGCTCACCAACCAGCGGTTTTCGTGAAACTGTAGTTGTTAGAAAGCTATATTTTAGCAGTTTGAGACCCTTGAGATAGTCTTCGAACGAGAAGACAGAGCAATAATATAGCGTAGTGCTTTCTAGACTAACAGTAGGAGAAAATTTGAATCGTGTGGTGGTCAAGAAGGCTCTTCCCTCTCTTCAAGAGCTTGTTCATTTCTCACTATTTTTATTTTCTTTTTAAAATTGACATTTTTTTTAACACAGACTACACTCTCTCATGATTCAGTCAACGTTTCTAGTTGTCTGCCTACAATTTAAAGATTTCATTTATGGTAATTAAGGGAAATAAATTAGGCACTGACTAATGTCCGCTTAATTAAAGTTGTCCGCTTCCTCTGGTTTAGCCCATCGTTTTGTATCTTTCAACGTGAGTAAGTACAGCCGAGTGTAGTTTGGAATTAAGCTCGATTTTGCTAACTTATAGAACTCTAAAGGAGGCAATTCTGAATTTTAACTCCCATGCAATGCTATAAAAAGGTTACCTGGCTATAAATAACATGCTAATATTTTCCCACCCTATTATTAAGTACGTCAGCGATTTTGACCTTACCCACTGAAGGGTCAATTTATCATTTTTTTCAAAAACGTGACCCGTCAATAGACTGTCAGTCAAGTTCTAAATTGAGCATCATTCTCTGAATCATTTTGGTCTCCGTTTTTATTCACGGCTGCTTTTCTAACGTTGGTAAACAAGTTGTTGGTTTTAAAATGTATCAAAAGAAGGGATTGAGCGTCTTGGAATATGGTATGTCAAGAAACCGTTTTCTTCGATCGCTATGTGAAATAATTTTTTGAAATTACGTATCCAGTCTATAGAGAGCGTCTAAACCAGACAACATAAAGACATAAGTTGGAGTCTGAACGAACGTTCAGGAAGAGTTAATTAAACTTTAAATGCCTATCACCAGAATGAGCGTCTTCCGCCGACCCGCCCATACGAATGGAATGAGCAATAAAGGAAGTCCTTTATGACCAGTCAATCGCGGAAAATACGTCGAGCCATAAATTTTGCTGATGCCTCAAACAACACTGTATTCGTGTACGGCATCATCGCAGTACAGCTGGGAGGCCACTTTGCAGGCATCTTTCCTCGATGAACTTCTTGTCATTCGTGGATCTAGGGTCGGCGTCGTGAGAATTTTTAACTGTAAGTTTAGAGTTAGAAAATTTAAGTGTTACACCTCAAACCCGGCCTACGCTTTAGATCATCTCCTAAGCTGGATGCTCTCCTAGCTCTTCCTTAATTGATCTCTAAGAAATTTTATTTCTTTCTGGTATGTCTCGTCTCTATCGCCATTCTTTTAGAAAACGCCACATGAATTCAAATCTTACTTCCGATTTTGCATGGGAGCCTATGTCTACAAAGATGTGTATTGACGTGCCATCATCCTTCTCAAACACTCGAAAATTCGGCTGTTATGCCTAGAAAATGTTCCCGGCAAATGCCGTAGAAGATGACTTCAGAAAATAACTTCTTTCCAAGATCAGATGAATGGTCGTATTTTAGGATTTTTTTTGACATATTCAGTTCCAAACTTTACGCCTTAGCTATCTACCCTGTACTGCTCTTGTTTACTGCAGTCTATACTCAGGGACTACCGACACTTCAAGACACTAAAGGATTTAGAACTGCAGTGTATTAGATCCACGGACGCAAATTAACACCCTGTTAACAGTGAATCCGATGAGAGAATTGGCACCAGTTTGGGCAAAGTATTCAAGCAATATCTTGAGTGTGTAAAAACTTTTTTTAGGGCGTTAGAATATCAAAATGATGTAAAAATGCAGCCAAATATCCTTAAATTATGGGTAAGAAATTCTTGACTTTACAGCCTCTTTTCATATTTTCGGCAGCAGATACACATGCACCAGATGCACTTAGATACAGTATATAAATTTGGCCTACACCTCATATATTCACAGATATTTATAATTGTAGGGGCCAGCGAATGACGGCAAAAGATACAATCTAAGTTTTGTAAACCTCGCTAGTTTCGGCTCTTGTACTAAAACGGGACTAAAATGCAAAAACAAAAACAAAAAAATAGGATTGTCTTGTGGGTTAAATTTTGTAAATCAGTTTCATTCGATTTATTAATCCATACGCTATAGTATAATGTACCGCCAACAGGGGCTGTTGTCTATTAGCTCATTGTATTTCAGAGGAAGGCATTTTCGACCTACGCACTCAGTCATGTCTAAACCGGCTCCACATGATTTATTGAGGGCCTCTGAAAGGATAAGTATTAAGAGCGATGTAACAAGATAATTTACTTTTTGTTGCCTGCCATTTCGATTGTCTTTACTTTACTACATTATTTTTTAAAAACCATTTATTTAAAAAAAAAATTAGAGGTACATTAAAGAGAATGTTTATTTTGGATTTGCTTCGATATGGCTCATCGAGTCGTGCTTCGTTCTCAATACTTAACCCTATACTGTTCTTGTTAATGGACATTCACATTCCTCTGTTGCTTTCTGTATGAGTAATAAATTGTTTAGGGTCCCTGTGCAGGAGTCCTTAGCTTAAAGATGTATATTGTTATGGTGTTTCCTTGTGTCCGTGTCTCTTTGGCGATATCGGCCACCAGATGAGTTATATCTTTGTTTTCAAATGTGCAACAATACAATACAAATGTGCAGTGTCGATGGTACTGAAATATGTCAGATAGGAAAAACTTATTGTGAAAATTATGCTCTGTTTTAAAGGGAGACTCTTCGACCAATTGGAGAGAAATGAGGTCAGGGAAATTTTTAGCTCTAACTTTCTTCGCTCGTCTGCTCTGTTTCCAGTTTGACAATGATTTAGTCAGGTTTTTTCTGGAATTTCTAGACAAGCAGGATTTTTATTTTCTCAGGCAAACATATTTTACCGCCATTTTTCTAAGTGAAGTGGCTCAAAATATTTCGACGGCATGCAAATTACCCATTCTGACGTCACGTTTTTACTCATGTGCGCACAATATCCCTACATTCAAATGGCGTACAACAACTGTGTTTATATAAAACGACCAAAATCCTGAGCTACCATGTCAAATAAACCTAGAGTTGACTGTTTTGAGAGAACAGCATAACAAATATCCAGGTTTTTAAAAATATTTCCTATGGAAAAGAGCGAGCCGTGACTGCGTTCGTGAAGGCATTGGGTATATTGCTCAACTCGATTTACTATTGGTCGATTTTGTGGGTGTATTGGGGGTGTGTCAGGAGGTGGGTCATTAACCGGAAACCCAACGTTCGTGAGCGTTTGCACTCATTCAACGACAAGCAGGTGAAAAAGAGAATCATCCATTTATCGAGTTTGTCAAGTTTAAGAAAAGCCTGTCAAAATTCTCTACATATAAATACAAGTAGACAGAAATGTCAATTTAAAAAAATCGATATGTGACCTGACCTGCGACCTTTTTATGAGGGACTTGGGGCTGATACGTCAATCTAAGCGTTAATGTGATTGGTCGAAAGTTATCGTGCTATGTCAATTCACCAATCAGATCATGTTTACTAAACCCTTTTTTGACCAATTATTTTGCAAGTGAAATTACTGCGTTCACTTACATCGGCCATCGCTGCTTTCGACATCAAGTCGCAGCGCTGGGTAGCAGTATAAATTTTTGTTATTTTCTACTCTAGAGGGACAAAACGACTGCCTAGCGTCGGAATCTACAATGGCGCTTAACTTGAAAGAGGAATGGGAAAATTTTTTGCTGGAAAAGCTGCGCGGTCCTTACATGAAAGAGTTCAGCCGGCTGAAGACGGACGGAGAAAGATTCAAGTTTTGTAAATATATTTTAAGGTAAGCTGGACTTCTTCTTTCTGTCGGACTGTGTCTACTTATTTTTAAGAATCAATGGGTGGGCCGTGCAAAAATAAATCTAAAGGCGAATATTAGAAGTGAAAGAATATGATAAAGGTGCGAAGCTCAAGCAAAATTCAACAATCTACAGCTGCAATGTAGCTCTCAAATCATAGATGCTACAAACCTGATATCCGATTTTTGTTCTTCTTCATTTTTCTCTTCGTTGGAGATCTCTTGTTACTTTTGTTGGCAACCCTTGTAGTGTTTATGTCTCGCAGAAATTTCTATTTAACTTGGAGAACGGTTTGCCTCAACAGTTGAAGAAAACAATAATTAAAATCGTTTTCACAAACAGAGATAAAAGCTTCAGAGATCTGTAAGCTTAAGCTTATATATATATATTTTTAAGCTTATATTTATATCCTAAATGTGCATGTGCAAAGAGTTCTTGTTGCTACTATATTGCTCTCGCCCAAGCACGAAAACTTCAGCGTTTTCAAGTGAAATGTGTTTGTACCTAGGTGATGTGCAATAAAATATGCATGAAGGCTTTTTTTTTCACCTTTGAAGCGCTTTTGTTTACAGTAAGCTGTCAAAAATCACACGTATATTTCTGGCTCGTGAAGGAGTTGAGACCAACAGAATTAGCTGTTGGAAGTTCTATCTATTTTTAAGATCCTACACTTATTAGTCTGTTCTGAACACCAACGAGGTGAGGTCTTGTAAATTTGTCTCGTGTCTTCGCACGTGCACGTACGTTTCAATTCCTGTGTTACTGACAGTCCAATTTAAAATCTTTATTCCCTTCTCACGCCATCTCGTTTTGAATTTACTTCTGTTATATTAGCAGGAAATAGTCTATCTGTTCGATTTGTCCCATCACTAATACAATTATTATTCACTCCACTTTGAATAACTTAGAAGTAATATGAAATTTTGGACCTTTCACAGAGATTGCCGTCATTGCTAATTGTTTAATAATCATTATTTGTTGGCATCATCCTGATCGAATGCATCCTTGCATTAAAATGGACATGCCTCGTATGGCTGATTTTAAATATGGGTGGTTTTTGGAGGGAATTACATAAAATAACATACAAAGTGTATTATTGTAGAGCACTGCCGCGAAACATAACCTATAGTGTAAGGGTTATATTTTACTTATGGGTCAGGTGTTCTATGGTGGCAATGTGCATGTACATTGTACTGGGGTCTAAAATATTATTTTAATTAGTAACAAAGTATTAGATAACAATAGACGTTGTTGTATGACAAATGAATAAAGAATGGTATAGGAATAGCAATAGAGTCTACCCTAGAAATTGCAATAGTTGAAAAAAACTTTATCGTAATACCCCATGCAGTTCATCTTTAATACCTTGAATTTAAATAGAATTGTGCACAATGTTTGTTTGAATGTCCCTTTGACATTTACCAGCAAATACCTTCTTTACACATGTATTATTAATTTTGTAAATCATTAACAGACAAACAAAAGATATAAATTGGGGGATTTGATATTGCAAGTGCTTTAGTTGATTTACATCTTTGGTGGTTTTTGCTTTCCTATATGAAAGCCAGTGATTAATAAAAGCTCAGTTGTTTGAGCACCGTTCTTTAGGGTTGACTTGTAGTGCAGTGATCTAAGACCTTTGCACTGTTATGTTTGAGTTATTATGTAATACATTCCACCGCTCTGAAAGTACATGTAGAAATTTGTACCCATGAGAGTTTAAGTAATTAGATTTTATTTGATTTGTACAATTTTTGGCAAACAAAACAATAAACAATAAACCCAGAACAAATTTGCCATTGCCAAAAAACTATCAAGCCTTTTATGGGGTTGTTTTGTCTTATTTAAATTACATGTAGCTCATCCATTAGGATAGATCTTACCAAAGTGTCTTTGACATGCATTTTATTTAATCCTCTTTTTATAATTGAAAAGTGAATATATAGGGTTTCATTTTTCCAATTTTCTTTTCTTCCTTTGCTTGTCTTTAACTTTCAAAAGTATTTTGTTTTCTAGTGTTTTTCTTATTAATAGAGCATTACCTCAATCTCTCCTATTAATTTTGTTCAGCTTACTAGAGCTTCACGTAGATTGGATATTTTAGGTGGTGGTATTTTGTACAATGGAACCTCAATATGTAACAAACTGCTCAGGGACTGGCAAAATTAGTTTTTTGTTTGCTGTAACGAGGTTTTGTTATATCAAGGTTCCTTTTCACATGTTTTACTGTAACTGGGGTAAAGAAAGTCATTCGTTATAGCGAGGACTTTGTTATATAGAGGTTTGTTGTATCGAGGTTCCACTGTGGCAAGTATTTAAGTATCGGGAATGTATTTTGAGTCCATTATCATTTTTCATGGATTTCTTTTTATGTCTTTTCCCAGTTTAAGCCATTTAAAGTTATCGTCAAAAATCATTATTTCTGTTCCTTATGTTATTTTTAGAAATAATGAGGTCGCACAAGAAATAATAGAGCAAATACAAAAGCTTCTAAACACCAGAAGAAGGCAAAATACCATGTCAGCAGGAAATGTCCAGAAATATGAATGCATTGGTGAAGAACATTTTAGACGCGGTGATTTCAAGAAAGCTGTGATGTGCTACTCATTGGTAAACACTATATATTTGTTACTGGTGGGCAAGGGTGTAGAAAGAAGTTCATCTGCTTCTTTTCTCAGAATGTTAATGGGGTCATTCAGTCAATTTGGTCTTCAGCCTTTTTATGCATAGTCAAATAATCTGTTTATGTATTGTAGAGCACAATGGAAATTCAGAAGCCTGAATTGTGATACCATGTTTACTTAGTTTTAAGCCCTGGACCCTCTTGAAAACTGATGCCTGGCATTAAAATGTCTTATCATGTTTACAAGCAATGTAGTTTTTCCATTTTTCTCATTAAAAATTTATGGTGAAAAGAACACCCATTACTCCTTTAGCTTTAACTTTGTGTGCAGTTATTTAGCCAAAAATGGGCATCTTCCATGTATAAAGTTTGTCAAATTTATTTTTGTCTTTTTTTTTAAATTTTGTTGCTCTACCTTTTTTTTTAACTAGTAACATGTCACATATTTACATGTATCTGTAACATGAAGTGAGTTCTCACAGGAGAGAAGGAAGTTATAAAAACCCACAACTTTTGCTTGTCATACAGTAATATTAATATTATAATATTTTTGCTTATAGGCTATCCAGCAAGCTCTGTTAAACAACAATTCAGAAACCGAGAAGTCAGACAGTGCTGATAGCAACAGTAGGTCTGATGGTTGTAACACACTTTCTTCCCTCTACATCAGAAGGGCTGAGGTCTTACTTCAGGCGCAAGAATACAAGGTATCCAGGATTGCACTGTTTTACTTTTCAAAAAAAGTATTAATTTTCTTCAATTTATTAGTGATGTTTCTTTCACAGTATGTTGATAGTTCGGAAGGAAAAAGTTTCGAAATTAATTCTGACACAGATACTGTAACGTACAACTGTATGTAGGCAACAAAATGGCCAAGAATTTCTTACAATTTACAGTCACTTACATTGTTCTAAATGATATGGCTGAAACTCAGATGTACTTTCTTCTTGTTGTATTAACAGATCATGTCTTTTTTCATTCCATAAACCATCTTCCCAATGTATAATGTGTATTGTTGTAAGCTAAGTTGCATGTGATTGTCATCTTTGTTAGCTGGATAAATATAATTGAATATTCCTTATTTCGGTCCAGGCATGTCTGAATGATATACAAGAAGCTACATCACTACAGTGCCCTCAGGCTGTTAGCTCAAAGCTAACTAGTCTTCAGAAAGCTTGCCAGAAAAGATTAGCAACATCTAAGCAACATTTTCCAAGTAAGTATATTGAGGCTAGAATGTCTCTCAGAATACTAATTATGGAATTGTTAGTCTTATAGTTTTATAATGATGATTTTTGGTCTGTTTTAGGCAGCAATGCTTCACAAGATATACCTTCTGTAACTCAGGGAATGCACAGCAAAATAGCAAGTGGTTCCAGTTTAATACAAATCGACTGTTCCAGTAGTCAAGGACGGTTTCTTAAGGTGGGTTTCGTTTGTATTTTACATGCACTGTGTAAATATGACACAAAATTGTTACCTGGTACTTAACATTATTTTTATCTTTTTTTTTCTAAAAATGGATATAAAAAATTCTCTGAAATCATTCTTTATTTTTGAAGAGAATAACAAAGCTGCAGGAGCCCAAACCTAAATTAAATGAAAAAGAACTTTGAATGAAAAGAATGTTTTTCTTGAAGCTGACACATTATTGACTGAGAAATTTGAGGTATTGGAGTTTGTATGTCACAAGGTTTCACTGTAAAACAAACACAAAGCAAATTCAGGTGAACACCATCATTGGTATACCAGCACATTTAGCAAACAAACAGACATAAAAGGAGTATTGTATTTACACACCTGCAACACCCCAGTGGACTCCCAAGATAAAAATGATTTTATCTTTCAAAAAGTAGTAAAGATACCGGTATATATTTTCTCTCTGTTTTGCCTTGTTATGTCTCATTCTGGCTGCCAGCCCTGACAGATATCTTATGCTAAGAAATAGCTATAACATCTACTGACAAATGCATACTATTGATATACTTTATTACTTATTTACAGGCATCAGATGATATCCGTGCAGGGGATACTCTCATCTCTGAATCTCTTTATGCAGCTGTACTTCTGCCAGAAAATGCTCACACGCATTGTGACTGCTGTTTTGAACCTTTAGTTGCACCATTTCTGTAAGCAGAAACTTTTCTGTAACTGAGTACTTAAATAAGTAATTAAGCTTAGTATAGTAAGGTTTGTTGCATAAAGATTTGCTCTGTTATTGTAGTTTGTATTATCATGTGTTGCTCCTATTTTATGGAATTATTCAAATTTGTGATGACATTTTTAATGATTTCTTTGAAGTTGCTATCACTGCTGTGAAGTGCAATACTGTTCACAATCATGCCGCAACAGAGCCTGGGAACAGTACCACAAAGTCGAATGTACTCTTGGTCCACTTCTCAAGATGGTACGTGAAAAAAGTGACTATGTGTAACTTTATCCTTAATCTAGTGTGGGGGTTCAAGAATACATGTACTTGCCTATAGGCAGCTATTTTGAGTTACGTAATAATTATTATTGACTGTAATTTTAAAAAAAGGTTTGAAAGGAGCATTTTGTTAGCTACATGTACTTCAGTGCAAGGGGGGGGGGGGAGTGGGCAACTTCTCTGAGTGAAAGAGCCAACAATTTTCTTTTATCAGCTGTCAGTGGTAATTTATCAAAAGCACTGCTAGTGTCTTCATAATTTTTATACAATCTTCAACCAAGGACATTTATCAACCTTGGCTTTTATCTTTTTAGTTGGACACCTCTTTCCAGTTGTCCGTTAGAATTCTTCTGGTCACAGGGACCCAGAAAATTCTTGGTAAGTTCAATTCAAGGCAGCTGTAACCCTGGCAACATTCTTTTTTACTACAGAGTCTTGTGTACATGTATTGATTCTCCTTGCATTCTTTATTCTTCATTCAGAATTCTTAAAAATGGTATCATCATCCCCTAGTGAGAATTCAAGTCTTAACAAAAGAATGTCCGGGTGTGGCCCGGATGGACAATATTTGGGTAAGTGCATGTTGTGTACAGTGTATAAAGACCATCATTAGTTAATTTTTTTTAATTGTATATTCCTTGAAAGATGTGCCATGAAATATTATTGCAGGTGTCATTTAAGCATTGTTTAATCAAGTTGAAACGGGTACCCTGTTTTCCTGCGCCAAAATAACCTCAATTTCCCTACAATATCATGTATGCTTTTTGCTGCTTCGAGATTACACTTTTTGTTTGGTGAACAAACCGTGAGTTGTTTCTCAGGGACACTTCAACATGGAGTAATGTGTTTTGTAATAGCGTAATACCGATGCTACAGTGCCACAAAAGGATGTCTCAGCACACCAGTAATCTTTAAATCCTTATAAACATCTTTGTTCTTGTCTTCTCTTCAATTTCATGTTAAAAAAAATAATGCATTAAGAATGGTTGGTGATACCGTATGTCATGTTTGCTTCAGGTGATTATGGTTCAGTGTTTTCACTTGTCACCAACACAGAATTACAGCCTGTTGAAACCTTGATGTCTCATGCTTTGGTACGTTGTTCATTTGATTATTTATGGATAGATAATAAGGGGTAGGCATTAAGTTGTGAGGTAGTTATTTAAATATCATGTCATCCAGATGCATGTTGCTTAATGACAATTGAATCCTGATAGTGACAAACATGTTTGTTCACACTAGACTGTTGATACATGCATTTCGTTTATTATACAATCGTACTTGGGATTTTTGTTAAGGAAAATATTGGCAAAGATTGCTACATCGTGGTAATCGTTCCACTTGTGTTGAAATAAATAAGTGCTCTACAATATGTCTGTTTTTGTTGGGGTTCAAGACTGCAGGGAGTGAGAGTTTCTACTGTGTTGACATGTACATCAAGCTATAGTCACCAACGCACACCCCCTCCCCACCCAGGATAATTTCTTCATTTAGTTTGTCTTTTTTTTTTTTGCGAAAAAAAATTCTGGTTTGTTGTCATTTTGTGGTTTTGCAGATGGAGATCTTTCTTAATGGATATGTCAAGGGAGAAAAGCTGAATCCACCCTAATTGTTTCATTTTTTTAATGTTTGTAGAATTGTGCATTGCTGGCAGAATTTCTCCAGGGTGCCTTGGTTCAAGAAGACCTTCAGCAAAGACCACTAAACTGTGAGAGCTGCTTGAAAAACAGACTTTGTCAAGTACATGGACAACAGTGTGAAAAACGTGAACTTAAATACAATGTGAACAATGTTCAAAACCTGTTTTGCACAAACTTAGCTCAAGAACTCAAAGGCGTAGATGAAAGTGGCAGAGAAACAACTTGTCTTTCAGCGGATGTGATTGGCTGCTTACTCTTTCATCATTCTCAGCAATTGTCTTGCAATGTTCATGCAATTACGGGGATAGTATCAACAAGTGACAGTACAAGACATTCAACAAAAGAGCAAGTTGTAACTAGGGAACAGAAGAGAATAGCTACTGCACTTTATCCAACAGCGTGTTTGCTGAATCATGCTTGTGATCCTGATGTTATAGTGAGGTGAGTGCAGGGTCCAGATGTGACACTGGAGTGGTTTGTTTTGTAAATTGTACAGCCTTTTCGATCAGTATTTTCACGACGTGAAGAATGTAATGCCTATTTTCTGAAGAAAATTTTAAAAAACAGTGATAAGTATTCATGAACCAATATTTAACTTTTTTCTATATCAGTTTTGTTGGTGGCCATCTGGTTGTGAGAGCAACACATAACATAGCAAAAGGATCAGAGATTTCTCACTGTTATGGTGAGTGAAGAAACATTGTTTTATTGAAATTTCCCATGGCTTTGTTTTTCTTGTGTAGCTTTAATTCAGTCACAGTATTATTAAGGTATATTGTGTCTTTATTCTAACTGGTTCCTAACAATTAATTTTCTAATGCCTATATTGTTTGGGTTGTAAATAATATTAATTCCGTATTGAAGGCAAGTAATTATTTATTATTGTCAACTTCCTGAGACTTGATCTCTCAGTGGATAGACTGAAAAATTGTCCTCGGAGAACCAATAGAAAATGGCTATTTTGCTGTTTTTTGCATGTGCTTAGAAAGGTTGCTTATAATAATGTGTTTTTGCTTTTTTGCAGGTCCCCATGTCAATCGCATGGGCCGTGAGGATCGTCAAAAAGTCCTGTATAAACAGTACTTTTTCACTTGCCAGTGTACGGCTTGCAAGAGGTAAGACTGAAAAATCTATAATCCAAATGGGCTGCTTCTTCCCTTCTTTAATTTTTTTTGCTCAAATACTGTGATGGTTGGCTCACAACCTTTTGTTTTGAGCAAACAGTGTTATTGATCATTGCAGAGTTAAAGGTATTTTCATAATAATTTTATGCAACGAGCTGATCATAGGCTGTCTTGTCTTTCAGTGATGAGGAAATGGAAAACAAAAGATTGTGCTTCTCTGCCTTTGCTTGCCCCAAATGCAAGAATGCCATGAAACTATCTTCTGTCAGGGATGGAGTCATTGGAACTTGTCAGAACCGTGAATGTAACTTCCAAAAAAATATGCTAGATGAGTGTCGTCTTGCCCATGAGGCAGAGCTGCTTTTTGTGAAAGGGGTCCGGTTGTCAGAAAGAGTCGGTATTAAGGAAGCTTTAGATGTGTTCCTTGAGTGTTTGCGACGACGTAAAACACTGCTTCACATGTACCACAAAGACTTGGCAGAGACACATGATGCCATTGCCAGGTAAACATTAGTGATTTGTGTAGCCAGTAGCTTGTGTGTCAGGCGTTGAAAGAGGCGGAATAGAAGGCTAAAGTGGAGGGGATTTTCCCTTTCGCATTATTCTCTCCCTCCATCTGCCACCCTTTTGCCTTCAACACAGGCCATGTAGCTGCTTAAAATGGCAAGAGGCTCACTTTGTTTTTATAGAATGATCACTAAAGGGAAAAATAATGCTCTGATCCACAGGGCTGTCATTGAAGGCTGGGGGCCGGGGGGGGCAGGGATTTCACCCGGCTACTATAAACATGATCCCCGGCTACTTTCATTGGAAAAAAGAGAAAGTATATAACCAAAAGAAATCCCTAGCTGTTTGATACCCTGCCTACTCCTTGTATTTAGCTGGCAACTTGAAATCTTAGTGACAGCCTGTATCCACCGGATAAATCTCTATCCAGTGGATAAAATTGAACCACAACATATCCACTGGATAGTGATTTATCCGCTGGGTAGCGCTGTCCAGATTTTGAACAACTGAGGACTGAATAATTTAGGGCTTAAAGTAATAAAGACCCTGTTATAATGCAATAAAAGGTACGTAGAAAGTATAGGAATAGAACATGTGAACCTTTCTCGTACTGTTGGGGTGCTCAGCAATAGCAGACAAATTTAACTTACACAGAAGGGGAAATGTAAGTTGTTTTAAACGTCTACGATTCTTTGATAAGATGTTACAAAATCTCTTTTGATTATACCTTTCAGCAGTTTTAATTTGGGAATGCACTTGTTTTAGTTGTTACCCCTAGCATTAAATTTAGATTACTTATAAAATGACTCTGATTTTCTCTTTTTTTCTGTTGTGTTCTCACAGGTGTTACGCCATGAACGGAGACTTCAAGAAAGCGTCATATTACTGTTCACAAAGCTCTGAAGCAGTGGAAAAAGTTTTTGGTTCATCAAGTGTAGAATATGCTCATGAACTTCACAAGCTTTCGCAGCTACTGTTCAATGACAGACAAGTGAAGAAGGCACTCTCTACAATCGACAAAGCTACTAATCTCTTGGCTCTCCACTATGGCCGTAGCAATCCAGATGTCAAGGAACTTACTGAGATGAAACGCTGTCTCATAGCGGTCGGTGGTCACTCGAGAAACAATAGCACGTGAAAAGAGTGTAAAGTATTAAAATTAGGTTAATAGTGTGTGTCAAATTATGTAATTGTGAGCACGCTCCTGTGTCCGTTTCAGACTTCGAACTTGACACGTGCTGCATGAATCTTCTGCAAACGATCCGGAACAAGAGACTTTGTTCATTAGCATGAACTTGACACGAGCCCACACGTGGTGTTAAGAACCCAGGATAGGAGACCTTGCACATTACAATAAACTTGACACGTGCTGAATCTTATAGGCATTTGTATGCTAGCTTCGCTGTCTCAAACGGACCTTTGTCGGGAGGTGGCGGAAAAAGAACGGTTTGTAAAAAGAATTTTGATCGGACGGTTTTTAAAGTTATTATCTTTTATAGTAAAAGTTTGGTGTATAATTTAAATTTTTTAAGTTATTGTTGTATCTCGTTTAATGGAGATCGGTTCTAGAGTAAAGAAGTGTCTATAAAGCATTTACTTGTAACTTGTTTTGTTTAAAAAACAACAAGAGTTGATAAGAGTGAAATACAGTAGAAAAAATACTCAAGGGCAACAAGAAAAAAAAAAGAAAAGAGGAGAGAGTAGATTGACCAGATATATATTATAGTTGTTTTAATGACCACGGTTGCTATTTTCTAAGACTAAGAAATAGTTCGGGTGTTCTGACGGTTGGAAAACGATATCTCATTGTTCCCACGTGACTGGAAATATACTCTAAGGACCTGTAGTACTTTCCTATTGTATATCTATGTAAATACGTTTTATCTGATCTCAACTGCTTAGAACACGAGAACATTTCTTGTTAAAGAGGTGATTGAATAAAACTCAAAAAGGAATTGCTTTGTTTCTTGGGTTTTGTTGTTTTTTTCCTGTAAAGTTGCGGGAAGGAGCCAGGGGTACCCAACTAGGCGGGGAAGTGTATGCTCGGAAAACCTGCTGTCTTTTTCAACCTGTCAGCTCGATTGTTAAGAGTGGTGTGTCCTTTTTCTTAACAAAAGCAGTAGAGTGAGCGAATTGAGAGATTCCATTGCTTGGTTATTTTTTGCGTTCGCTCTGCCGTCTGCCTGCATTCTCTGACGCGTTCTTCAAGTGACAGTAGTGAGTTTGCGCACCAGGACGGCAGGAAAAAAGGGACAGCAAAACGCTTGTGTGTGACAAACGTGACAGGGCTATCACTTGCGTGTTTCGTAACTTAACATTAATGTTTTCTGTTCTTTTCAAAAGAACTGTTTAAAGGACAGTGAAGTTTGGTGAAAAGTTATCTCAAAGACAGTTATTGTCACGCTTTTCACACAAGGTTTGCCGTCTTTCCTCTCCCGCCCTGTTGCGTACACAAGTACGGGATACGTAGGAGGCTGGTTCCAGGCTTTCAGGTAGCGTAGGCGGGGCAGAGAAGAGAACGTTTACTTTGTTCCATCCGCTCTGCATTACTTACTGCCCCCTACTATCTGAATGCCTAGGCCTGGGACTGGCTAAGTCGCGTCGGCTCGATTTTCGCCGCTCTCTCAATTCGGCGCGACCAGAGAAAAGCAATACTTCATGGAAAGTGCGCGTTTCTGATAGGCTAAAACTCGTTTTCGCACGAAAGTCCGGACATGGCTTTTCAGATCTTACGTCTCCGGGCCTGTTCCAGGCGATCGGATAGTGGAGTGTGGCTTCCTTGCTGTTTTTTTTTCCTGCTCACATCACTTTGCGCTGTTTCTGCGCAGTTGAACTGGACTGTTCACAGTCCATTTACTGTCTCTTATTTTAACGGTATGATCATCGATAGTTATCGAATGAGCCAAGAAGGTTGGTGACAGGGTGTATAGCGTTAAGGAGAAGTGCGAACTCGAATGGGTTGAACGTACGGCCCGGAAGAATTGAGAAAGTTTGCGATCAGAAATTTCATCATTAGATTTCCAAGAGGTAATGGTCTAATCAGATTTAATCTCGTCAAAGTCCTTTACCAAAAGAACTCACCTCAGTGTATGTAATCAATCAAAGAAACTGGAGTCTATGCACAGTTTCTCAGTCATAATTGTTAACGATTAGCCTGTGTACAGACACCTTCTGCCTAGCCCCTCCCCTCAGGGAAAAAGGGGTCGTCAGTACACAGGCTATTAACGATTTGACCAACTAGCAGGTGAATTATGAGCACGCTAAGTCAAGCATAGGGAATATCTCGTGGGTTTGCTTAAGCGTAAAATTTGAAGTAATAGGAAAAAAATGTGGGTCACTCCACAGAACAAGTAATGAATGAAAGCGATATCAAAAGGTGTTTTGTCACTGCCGAAATTGTGCACTAAGAAGACGAATACCAAGTACCGGAGGAAATTAAGAAAAGTTTTAGTTAGAAAACTTCGTTCGATAGCTTATTACGAACCGAGTGTGCGTACCAGCGCTACAGGGCTCTTTCTTAAAAAAAACTTTGAATACACACAGGGACCTCATCCCTGTCTCATAAAAAGTCAAAGCCACCTTATAAATACAATGCTAAACCGTTGCAACAGTAAGACAATAAATGGCTAATTCCACGGCCTGTGTATGGTCACAACCTCCTTAGTTACCAGCCTAAGCGCAGCGATAAGAACCATAGAGAAGTGCAGCTGTTAAATACCGGCTACATGCTCTGTATAATAAAATAAACTTGTGGTACCAAACGGCTTTGTACACATTGCACAAAATATACTTGTTGAAGGAGCCTTTATCCATATGTTGGGCACCTAAAGAGAGCAGCATCAAATGATCTATAAAGCCAACAAATTCCTCTCAAGTGAAGTTTCAGATATACCGATTTAGTCCGGATATCCCGCCGGCCAGTTGCCAACTATAGCTAGATATAAGCACCCGGCCTCGTAAAAGCGCCCCAGCTACCTTCCCCCCACCCCCACGCCAAGCCTCTATTATTGTTTCCCTTCAGTATGTTTTCTTAGATTATACATAGTCTACGATATGTCTCTTACTACATATACTTGAAGAGTGCTTTTATATGTGTTATCTGTCTTTGCCGTTTAGATAAGGATAACGCCTGTTTGGTTAAAGTTTTAAACCCTAAATGTATAGTATCAAAATATAAATTCTCATTTGTTGCCACTATACATTTCTTACAGACGTAATGAGGAGAAGTTGTTAATCTATGAATCGGAAATTTACCCTGGGTGATCACTACCTTGATTCTCGCGATTACTCTGTTTCATGAAACCATTGGTATTTCAAATAGAAATAAGATGCTGATCACTCCTTAGGCTTATTTAGGGGACATAGCCGATATATACGATGACACTATTGGGTTTTAAATTAGTTAGGTCACCGAATCGCGATTGATAGCAACCAAACGGGTCTGAACGCATATAGCGCTTCCAACTGGGCATATGTACCTGTAGTTTTGAAGTAGCTAGATCAATCATAAGTTACGAAGACTCGTCATGTTGTCCTGACGATTGTTAATGGCTCTATAGAGAGAGATTTCTGTTAACACTTAACTGGTAAGTATTAAACGAGTGTTAATTTTCTCTAAAAAGTAAAAGGGCGAGTATATTGTGTAATCAACTCAGGGGGTGAGAACTTCGATGAATAGCTTAATTCAGTTTCATATGAAACAAAGCTAAACTATGAAATGGTTGTTTCGTTCATCAAGATGCCGTCTATTACGAAATTTCCGCTTAGCTTAAGTTGATTGTATTCCCATCCTTGTCAATTAAGGTACAGTGTTTTTATTTTTCGGTTCTCCTTCGGGTCACTGTACACTTGTCAAAACATTTCCGTCTTTGCTTGTTTTTCGCTTCTTATTAGCTATTACTGAACAAGATATTACCGGGCAGGTCACTGATAGGAGATAACTTTATGATTATCAGATAAGAACAAACCAAAACTTCCTACAAAGCGTCACGTTTGTGAAGACTCTGAAAAGATCACTTTTTTGTAGTAGGTTAGGGTTCTGTAGTAAGATTGAAGTATTAGTAGTTCATCGATCATCATGTTCTCTGTCAGAGAAGGTCTAGATCGAATGAAGCTTCGGTCGTCATCAATTTAAAGCATAAAACCAGTACACTTGGACAAAAAAGCACTGTACAATGGCTCGGCCGGAATCATGGTTGGGCCTTGTGGCTTCACTGCTTCAAAATCAAAAGTTAGAACCATCTTCGAGTTAACTCATTCTGAAGGCGTGGTGGCCGAGCAGAGGGTTGACAACCGGCGACTCGACTTCGTAACTGTCGGCGGGTCCCGGATCAAACCTAGTCGTGTAGTTGTTTCACTTTGCTCTACTATCTCATTCGTATAAAATCCGCCGCGTGACGATTTAATCAACTAGATTACTGCGTGCTCCCTCGGGAAGCAGTCTATTGGTCCTTTACGGTCCCCAGGGAAATTCCCTAGGCCTTTTATACGCCCTAGCAAACAAATTCACCGTCTTCTCGCAAGTCTACTCTACAATACAACGAGCAAGCAAGTTTCATTCTTCCGCAACGCGACCAGCGCCGCTGAAGCTCTTTCATGGCTCTCGTCCCTTTTTAACCAGACCCAGCTGATGCGGTAGCTATTGCTTCGACAGAACCTCAACCAGAACCAACACCATCCACCTAAGTATCATGTTTTAATTTCTCGCTTCCCCCTTTTCTTGTCAATTTGTCACATACGTGGCGTTTATCTTTTTCACCATTCTGTTTTGGAGTTTGTTTACGTTAGCGCTTTTAGGCGTCTGTGCGACGTACCAGAGGTAAGGCGACCCTTATTTGATTATTGTCGCGTCCTTTTCGTCTGTTACAGTAGAACGAAAACGAGCCGGAACATATTTACGTTGGCGCTTCTTGGCGTCTGTGAAACGTAAAGGAGAATCTCAACAGTGCAGTTCAGTGGAATGTAATTAATTACGTTGGCGCCCTTCGGCGTCTGTGAAACGTATAATGAAGAGAAAGACATTCTCTACTCTACAACGGGCAAGCAAGTTTCCCCACCCTCCTCCCCTTCAGCGGCGCTGGCAAATTTTCTCTATCAGCCCACCTTATGCCTTATGCAAAATTTTTCACCCATAACTTATCCATCAAAAGGCATAAGGTGGCTTTTATGCGAATGTGAATTAGTTACTATAGTCACTTTCACCTAGATGGTAACGCTGGAATGGACTAGCACCGTGCTTAGCGGGGGGGGGTTGGGAGTGCAATACCCTCAACTGCTTCATGTCACAAAGGGAGTATGCCTGCGTAGGCCCATGTTCAATGTCTTTACCTTTTACCTACAACTACTTAACGGCTTATAACGTTTCAAATTAATTGTGATGTAGAGGTTCTACTGTAAACACATCCCTGCTAGTCTACTGTATTTTCCTTAGAAACGGATGTCGCAGATTCGCGCCATCAACCAGAGCACTTCTTCCGTCACCTTACATCATCCTCGGGTCTTGAATTCGCTAAAGCAAATTTATATGGTAAAATTTTTTTTATTGCATTTCGACGTCGCTCACAAAGAAAGCTCCTCGTATGAAGACAAAGCAGAAAACTGATTACACACAGATGGGATTGTCGTAGTTTTTTATTCCAAGATCGCCGGTGGTGAACTAATTCATGTGGAAAAAACGATTTGTAACAGACATGAATACCGGTGCGAATGTCATCAGTCGCCGTACTGTGATTTGGCAGCTGTCTCGAAGCTAGCCAAGTGAATTGAACTGAACAGAATTAGTCTGACATGGATAATCATTACGTCTCCGAAAGCACGTTCCTTCGTGATGAGAAAAAGTTTTAATGATAAAATACAGCTTCTTGAACCAACGCCACTTGGACTGAACGTAAGAATCTAAGTAATAGAAAGAAGTTAGTTACAAGTTACAAGAAGTCAGTGACAGTTTTCAAGTTAAACATTCACTGTTTTGGCAGACTTCTTCTCCACCAGCTGGAAGACCCCTCGCCAGGAGATGAACAGCGGGTCCTGAGTATTGTAAGTGATCAAATACCGTTTTATCGAGCACCAAAGCTTCGGGTATTTCGTTTTGTCTCAGCCGAGTTACTTCTCTTAATGATACTTTCTGGAAAATTATAGCCGAGTTTGTTTCTAACGACGTGACGCACACAGGACATATATTTTCTGAGAAACAGGTAGTTACAGTGGCAATAGGAATGAAAAGGGGATCAAAAGGATGTAAATGAAACTGACAATTTAAACACAAGTTAGATTGGCTAAAAAACAAGGTGTTACGAGACAATGGTACCACAAGAGGCAATGGTACTTCAGGTATTTCCACTGCAATCAGTAAAACTAGATTCGGCGTTTACGGAAATGATTAAACCAATTACACTATTAAAATGATATTCCTTGTCAGCACAGTTCAAGGTAAGTTTTTTTCGTCTTTTTTATTTCGGACTTTCCTATCAAAAATAAGTTTATGTTATCTTATGGAGTAAAACTGCCAAGCGTTCATAAACTTGGGGCCCACTAAGTGAATCCATTCTCCTTCCCAGGACTTTCTCCCTTAAAATGGGCAAAAAGGGAAAAAGCCTTGTGAACTAGGTTGAAGGGAATCTTAGGAAGATTGCGTTTTGGTCACTTTATGAGAAAGCTTTAGCTTGAAGTCACACATTGCACAAAAGATCGCGCCAAAAATTTGGTAGTTGATCGCTTGAGGGCTCCATGACCAGGAGCGTAGCGCCATGATGTACGCACACACGCCCTTGCGTAAAACTGATATCATTCTGGGAAAAATATTCTTTATGTTTCCTGTCAGTAAAAGCATTTTATCACTATAAATCGGGATGACAGGTAAATGTTTCGCATTATGTTGTAACCTCCTTGTACTTCCCCGGTCAATGACCGTGAAAACTGATTTTGACCAGCATTTTGGATAGTTGGTCGTCTATGAGGAACATCAGTTAGATACCTACAATCGGCGGTACAGTCAACTCTGTCTTAAACAATTTTTTTATTCCTTGAGCCCGAATGGGCTCTGAGTCAATAGGCCATGAGGCCGAAGGCCGAATGGGCTATTGACTCAGAGGCCATGAGGGCGAGAGGAATGGTTGTTTTAGTAAAATCCAACTAGTTGGTCAAAAATATCGAGAATAAAAAAACTTTTAGCTAGTTAAAGCTACACTTTAATCCTTTTTTGCCGCCAAAAAGCCCGCGCTTTTCGCTACTAGAGGGCTATAACATATAGCCTAGTAGTAGCTCAAACAATCAGAACGCGGCATTGATAATAGACCACTAGCTGGATTTTACTAATAATGGATACCTATATAAGACGGACACCTCTCTAAGACGGACAGCTGTTGCTGGTCCATGTCTATTTTCAGTCATTTTACTGTAACTATACTCTTTATAAGATGGACAACTCTCTAAGACGGACAACGGACACTTTTGAAACCGTCAACAGACACTTGAGAAGTGCGTTATGCAGTGAAAAATATCCCTAAACGGAAATGTAAGTTCTCTAAATGACAGTAAATTGCAAAATTCTTAATATTTTGCCGTTTTTCTCCAGTTTGCAGCGTGTACTGACTGTTGCACTTTTAGACCACAAAGCCGTGAACGTTTGTTTGTACACTTAAGGAAGAAAATGATTCCACTTTTCTGTTACATTCTTCCCGTCTTAGCTGTTTTGCATCAGTTAAATTTATAGACGTGTATTCGTTGCAAATGGTTTCAGCTTAGCTTTTTACTAGTGTCACGTTACCTTGAGTCTCTATAAGCCGTTGCCTAGTCCCTAGGCCTAATTAATTCGCGCGGCCAAAGCGTTTCTGGTCACTTGGTCCAAGCGGAGCTATGACCGAGAGAGACTAGGCAATATAAGCCGGACACCTCGCCGAGACGGACAGTAGGGGTCGGTCCCGAGGATAGTGTAGGAACTGCTTGAAAGGTATCCCTTCATTGGTCCGGTCCCGAAGGTGTCCATCTTAGAGAGAGTTAAACTGTACAACATTGCATGGAGGGGGTGGAAGAGTGAAAGCTTCATTTTCCCCGTTTGACTTGGCAAAACGTCACAAAGGTCCTTTAATTTTGTCGCCAATTGTAGAGGTGTTAGCTCACGAGAGTTGGTCGGCATGTGTAGTCAGTCGATTAGACTTTGATTGAAATTTTGTTTATTTGCTGATGTCTGTCTTGTTTCGCTTTCTGCAGATTATGGAGTTCTCATTCATCTTATTACAAGCACCACCCGTTTAGAATGGCTTTTCACTGCTTTGTGCTGATAAGCAGATACCTTGGGCTCACAAGAGCGCTGCTAAGATGGCGCTGGACTATAACAACTATGATTATATTATATACCTTCAACCTGCTTCATCCTTTATTTCAAGAGGAAATGTTAGCTTCCGTTGAAAGGTCAGTAACTTTCTGTAGGCTCTGAGCTGCAGAACTTGATTCACAACCTTGAATTTTAATGAAAGCCACCTTGCACAACATAAAAAATGAAACCTCCGTGATACTTCGGGGAATAGAAAGAGGATTATACTGAAAGCACTTTGTTTAGCAGAAAGCACCTCTAGAACGTGATGACCTAAATCCTAATGACTTCACAATTCTAGAGAAAAAATAGAAAGTAAGGTAGTTGTAATTTAAGGTAGTTGTGTGCCATGACAGTCCTTAAACTAAATAAAGTAGGCCTAAAACGTCGTTTGAAGTGACACACGATATCCCCAGGCGACTCAACCTCGTCCCCACGGCGCTTTTCTGTGGGGCGCCCCACCTGAAAAGCCAGGGAAAGGTTGCAGACGACTTCTTCGTGTTACTCTGTTCTTGACTATAACAAGCTATCTTTATGTGGTTAGCGTTTTAACAGAGGTTTAGTACCTTCTATTTAGCCAACCCACATGTTCACTTATCACAATACCAAATATGATACCATCACCAAAAACAACAATAATAATTATAACTACATACTAATAGTACCAGTGCTAATGATGATGATGATGATGCTGATAGTAATATCCCGGAGCAGTGACTGTGCAGAGTTGGAGAGGATATTAATTCAGTATCAAAAAACTTGTGGTCTTGTGTAGAGATCTCAGAGAACAAGGACTACCCTTTAAAATTGGCATCAGCATAAATAAGACGAGTAGGAGACCTTACCTGATGCTAGAAACTGGGCCAGACTTACTGAGCAGGCACGTCATGGAAAATAATTCTCTCTCTCTTCATGGGTGGTGGATGTCACATGTGCAATGGGACGTCACTGAATACAAACAAAGTCCCGAAAGAAAAACCAGACAGGCAAGTAGCTATTATAATAGTTTGTGCTGCATGCGCTCTTAAAATAAAGAGAGGGGGAGGGAGAGAGGGAAGTCCACAGGTGTCTGTTACTAGAATCCCATACAACCTTTGGTAATAAGTCTACGACTACCGTCACGAATATACGCAAGTGTTAGTGATGGAGTAGTCAGTGTAGTGTGTAGGTTGAGCGTTAGTGAATTGGTGTCGTCAGTGTAGTCAATGTAGTTGGTGTGTAGTCATTGTAGTCACAATGTAGTCAGTGTAAACTGAATACACCAACTACACTAAATATATTGACAGTTTCATTTGTTAATTTATGTGCTTAATAGTGTATATTCGTGACGGTAATCATGGATCTATTTTCCAACTTTTTGGACCTGGAATGGATAGATGCGGATAAAAAATAACAATCTAAATAACCTCCGTAGTGATTTTCAGGCAACTACGACCCTCATCGCTAAAATCTTTCGGGGATCTAGCTGTGATGCAAGGGCCTGGGTACTACTGGCAGCTTTAAACGCACCCTATTCAGCGTTAGGGATGTTGCCAAACTTTTGGGGTTATACACATCATCTCCCTTCCGGGGTACACGGTCTACACGGAGCAAACATTTGTTGTAATTAAATGCAATAATGTGTATGACGTTAACGTTGTCGAATAAATGGATTTTTCAGTTTTTCAGTGTGGCGTGTTCTCCTCAAAGAATGGTGGAGACATATCAGTATCTACCGGTAAGTCAGGTGACTAAAATCACAGAGCGGGAAACATTATTTTCATTCAAACAATCAGTACCTTGATAACAATCCAGCCGGTTATTTTACGGCAAAAGAGAGATTTAGAGTCACGTTTACGGCAAATCCAAGTTGAGAAATCCTCAAAATAGAAAATGAGCAGCTAAAAACAGCTCACTGAAACAATTCTTATGGATAAAACTGGCATGAATCCACTGATTTCCGTGTAGTTATAATGAACAGTAAACGACATTTTAAGGAAAACCTTGGTCACGTGGTACAAATTCTCGTTTGCCGTAAACGTGATTCTAAATTCATTCTAATGTCAGAGGTTGGTCGGCACATGGAGAAAAATTAACGTGAGATAAGATGCTAATCTGCTAATATTTTTCAATCTACTGTAGACTAGTAGTCATGCAGCAGAATCAGAATCAGTGTAATATCCCAATTGCCTTCACGCATCCTAATAAAGTCAACTCTCTCATAGCGACCACTTCTCGTAAGCGACCACTTTCAAAATAACCGTTTTGTTTCTCAGCCAAATACCGAATTCCAATTCGAATTTCTTAAACGACCCGGACCACATTTTAAGCCAGAAATTTAACTTGTCCTTTTGTTTTCTGTTTCCCGTAAGCGACCACCCGGCATGATCATCACGTATGATTGTAAGAAACCATGCTCGAATGTCGCATTAGTTCAGTTCTATATAGCGTTGACCAGGCGTGCTGACAGATTACAGCAGTTACCTCACAAAATAAATGGTTGAAAGACGATCTGTACGTAAACAGGTGCATTGTAACATTGATGCAGAATATTATGTACACGGGGTTATGTACAAAGTTTAAGCAGTTCCAAGTCGTATTCGATGTGAAACATTCTTGCCAGTTGACTATTTGCCTAAGTTTTAGCTTGTAAGGTAATAACCTTATGTAATTACGTTAATCACTTCATTTTAAGCTTATATCTATGACTTTCCCGTCGACGACCACCTTCCGTAAGCGACCTCTTTGTCGTGTACCAAGGGTGGTCGCTTACGAGAGACGGATAGATCAGGTGGATTAGCGCCTGCAAGCATTTCGCGCAGAGGATATCCATGTGAGGCTCCATCAAGCCTCTAGAGGTGGCGGAGGGACCCCAATCTTGAAACTCGAAAATATTTCCATTTGGTTGGCGCTACTTGATTCTTTTAGGGGTATTTTTCCGTCTTTTACCTAGACCACGATTTTCAATTCTCGATTTTTTTGCTTAACAGTTTAACAAGAATATACCAATTAAAGGATTCAAGTTTTATGTCAGCACAGCCTCGTGGAAGATGAAGCGCCCTCCTGCTTATTTATTAAGGGTGTGGTAAACAATCATTTTTGCTGTTCTTCGCGTTTTTTATTTTATCTTAAATAAAAAGTAATAAAATTAATGCAACTTGTTTATCCCAGAATTCTTAGCTTGAAAAATGGAAACAGAGAGTTTCTTTCGGTTAGGAATCGGGTCTCCAGGGACTTTCGACAGGTCTGTCAATGACAAAACAATTTTAAGGCTCAAAGAAGTAGCGGGAATTACAACTCAAATAGAGAGAGATTGAAATCGTACAGCAACCGTATCACTTGCCACTAATGGTGGCTGAAAAGTTGGGTTCTTAAACATTTGATTTTTATCTATTCTTAACTCAAGTATTGTTTAATAGTTGTTCTCTTCACAGCATCTATTCTACAAAGAATATTACTGCGTGATCTTTTTAGGATACGATTTCTAATTTCGGTGCTGACTCTAGTTTGCGCTGTCTCCCTCGGCTTCCCTCCGGGAATGGAGGTGACTTGATTTAGGATAGGACTTCTAATTTGTGGGTGCAGAGTCTAGAATGGCATTACACGGATTGTAGCTGAACATAGTCCGATAGGGGGTTCAGTTTCCATCTCTAAGAGGTACCCACATATTATACCCCCTCCCCCTCGGCATCCCTCCGGGTATCGAGGTGACTCGACTTAGGGTAGGATTTTTAATTTATGAGTGTAGAATGGCGTTACACTAAATACAGCCAAGAGAGGATAATACCCTGTCTTGTTGCCTTAATGCAGGTGAACATTGACTCATAGCGTGTTCGATCTTTAATCTCTCAGTGGTACATAGACTTCCACCCTTTCCCCCTCGGTTTCCCTCCCGGGATTGAGTGGACTCGATATGGCCAACTAGTTACTAAGAATCCTTTTCTGTTCAGCTTTAGCCTGTGTACCGACGCGCCCCTCTCCCCTCAAGGAGGGCGTCTGTACACAGGCTAGTTCAGCTTACAACCTCGTCCCCAGGGCTTTTCAGTTAAAAAATGGCCTAGAGACGAGGTTGTTCAGCTTAGTAACGAATCAGAGGCCCGTTTCTCAAACGGCCCGGTAACTTTTCGGGTCCGAAGGCCAATTTTGAAATCAAGTCCATTTGAATAGTAGCACAGTTCCTAGCTCACAAATCGGTCACTTTTGCTTCGTTAACTGATAGTTTCATTATATCAATTTCAAAATCAATGAAACTTTGATATTGAATGCAAACACGGCAAACATAAAATAGCTTTTCGGGCCCTAAAAGTTATCGGACTTTCGAGAAACAGGACCCAGGTTTCTTGGCTGTTCATCATGAGATTAATTTATCATGTCACATATTAACACTAATATTCTTTTATCGTCTTCGCAGGCTTATGAACCCTTTTATGGTGCTCGCGTATTTGTAGTGTTCGCAAGTAGAAGAAGGAAACTTCTCAAGTACGATAAAAAAAAAAGCAAAACAGAATCTTTTTGCTTAAGGTGTACTTTTTGTGCACATTTATAACTTGAATGAACAAGATTATAGTAAAGGAATTCTTTCTCTGGTGTTTTTCAGAATAAACTTTTTACCAGATTTGGCTGGAAAAGTAATGAGCAAGAAAGCGGAATATGTAAGTATGGAAAACACTTGATATACATGAAAAAATTTGGGTCAAGGGAACAACACTATTTCAGTTTCGACGATCCTTAAGCCCCGCCGCACGTATCGGGATATTTTTGAAAGCGAAGATTATTTTTCTCCGTATCAGCCTTCCTTCCACGGGCACCAAAACCGCGGGTTTCCTGTGAGCGGGGATTTTTGAAAACGCCTAATTATCGTTTTCGCGAAGACGGAAGAAAAGCGAGATTTTCGAATACGATCTTCAAAGAGCGCACAGGACGTTATCTTATTTGTATCGCTTTTAATAGCGTTTTCGTGCCGTGGATGGGTAAAAACGATTTAAATACGCTGTGTGTCGATACGCAAACTTTTGAAAAGTGTAGAAGAGGCCTTAGTGACCTCCTTAGTTCCTGTGTTTGCATGTCAACCAGCAGAACCGAAACTCACAAGAATAGCGTCGAACGGCATTTGATGTAAAAACTGTTGAATATTCTTCAACTAGCACCTTTTAGGGTTTATAATTATATATAAACATACCCATAACTCGGGGTGTCGGGTATGTGGTTTGCAAATCAGTGGGGTTGGCGTAAGTGAGCTTCCTTGAGCGGCATGACCAAGGTTAGAAGTTACCCTAACCCTCTAAATAGTTGCAAAAGAAAAAACGAAAGAAAGGCGCTTTCTTGCGTGGAGTGATTTTCACGCGCGCTCTACCATCCCTGAGGAAAAATGGGGACCACTCGCGCGTAGTCTAGGGGACTGAGCTCGGATTTTGATAACACAATAAAACGCTGAACAGATTTTGCCCTCGTTATTTAAAAGGAGTATCAGGTGTATCAAGTATCACTTCTTTTTTTTTTCAGATCTCACGTTACGGGGAACAGATTATTAGTGTTACAGTCATGTTGGGTTGTCTTGGATACGAAGGCTACGTCACTTTTACTGACCTTGCTGTAAAGCCCATATACGGTAAAAAGCCATGAAATGACTTACCGATGTGCACGAACTGTCTATTTTGAAATAGCGTTATGTCCTGACAGTTTTGTGTATTGTTCTACAACCTCTTCCCAAGGGTCTTCACGTTTTTCATTATGGCGGTGTTATAGTGATATGGGCATCCTCGCGTCGGTTTTGGGCATCCCCATTCCCAAAACCCTAGTGATATGGGCATCCCCTTCTAATATTACCTTGGCGTTTTGGGTTAGGGTTAGGGTTAGAGGGGATGCCCATATCATTAGGGTTTTGGGAATGGGGATGCCCAAAACGCGGGGATGCCCATTAATATCACTGTAACAGCGGCGAAGGGAGAGATCTTCTCTTTTAGAGAACAAAAGAACCCTGGGACGAGGATGCATTGTTCTGTTCTTATGGTTTGTTTGAGAACGTTGGTGTGTGCACTGATAAAAAAAACCACTGAGATCCCTACAGTCTGTTTTGGATAAGAGACTATGCCTTGCCTACGTTAAACATTTGATCCTATCACGGCAGGCTGAATCAGACTATCAGTAGGTTAACCTCTAATCTAAATGCCCATCAACCTTAATAAGTATATATCATTGTTATCACTCTTAGAATGCTCCAAATGACAATCAATATTATTGATTGTAGTAATTATATTACATGTACCATAATTATAATCATCGTTATTATTGACTATTATTATATAATTATGACGGTCTTAATATGAACTAGTGTTAAGTTTCATCAATGTAGAGCGACTGTTCACAACTACAAATGATCAATTGCTTTATCTTTCACCAAAAGCTTTCTATTTTTGTTTTATAAAATCAATTTTTTTATCCAGAAAAAATTAGAAGCCGGACCAATATCACACCAAAGAGCTTACTAGCCCCATGCCAAGCATCGACAAAAAGACCACAGTTGAAATCAGGAGACTTTCTAACTGAAATATTGTACTCTGCCTCTTCAGCCACCGTAAGTTGTAACAATTTGATACGTTTGTATTTCAAGATAACCTCACGGTTTTAGCTGGTTTTAGCTGAACGCTCCAAAATTCATCCGCCCTTGGATTTTCCTTGGATGAACAAAAAATGGATAGAGATTTGTGCTGGATGCAACAAAAGATTTGCAAAGCTCGCTAAATTGTTGTCTTTGTTTTTGGAGTGTCAGCCAGTGCAGGATTAAGAAAATGCTTTGATTTGTTCCGCTACAACTTTTGGCCAACTCAAAACAGCTACCCCGCCTCCAACCTCGTTCAGTGTAGCGTCTTTATTCGTCCCTTTTTACCGAAAGGAATGGGAGAGAGACCCTAAGAATGAATTTGCAACTACCACCTTCCATGTTTATATTCATCGTTATCATCATCATTATCATCATCATCCTCATCATTATCATTATATTATCACTATCATATTTTCTATTTCTCTGTTTTGCGCTTACTTCTAGGATTCCGACGCCATCACTTTAGTGACACAGCTAACTTTTGACCGAATAACCATGTTGAAGAGGATTTTAAGATTTTGGAATGGTAAGATGACATCTTAAATCATAAACTAATACCGTTGGCCAGAGGTCTTTTTGCCCAGGCGGCTTGTAAAGATCGGCAGACGCCACAATACCTATTAAAAAATTCACTCAATTTTCACAGGACCTTTGTCCGTGGTAGTTTATGTTGTTTTAGACGACGATGATGAGTCCATCGACTTCAAAACGTAGGTAAAAGGTTTTAGTTATAACTGAAGTGTGTCGGATAGTTTTTTTGAGACGGTTGTAGGTATATTAAATAATTCAAAATAATCATGTCAGAGTTTTCATCAACACTTTTTTTCCGACTTATAAAACAAGCTTCAACTTATAGACGTACTGACAAACAATAATTGTAAAGAGTTAGGCAAGTTTTAGCCTGCGAGCAAGCCCTCTGTTTGTGGTTATTGTGAGAAGTCGCGCGCGTGTGGCACATGAAAGAAGATGAGAGAGCGATGGGCGCTTACTCGCGCGTTGGAGATCTCCCGACGAGCTCCGCTCGCCTTTGGAAATGGGGAGGTTGCTCCCAGGCTAAGCACTTCTTTAAACAAATACTTCCCTAAAAATATTATAAACCTTAAAACGAAGACATTCTGCCAGCACTAGCCTGTGTACAGCCTACCTCTCCCCTCAGAAAAAAATCGGAGCAGGGCCCTCTTTTTCTGAGGGGAGGGGGCGGCTGTAGACAGGATAGCCAGTACTTACCATCAACCTTTAAACGAGTTCTTTTTAGGAGAGAGGTGTTGATAGGATTGCCACCGCATTTGTTCACAAAGTATTCCACATTATCTGTAATCGTCATATATGGAAATAAGGTAAGTCAAGCGTACTAAATGTGTAAAATACTTAACTTTATACTAATTGCGGTAAAAGAATTTTTATCTAGACATCTTCTCTTTAAAAATTTGGCCAAAGTCGTGAAATTTCAGTATTTGAGTGTTTATCACTGAAAAGATTGCCTCTGTCGACTTTGGTTTTTCATCAGATTGGCCTCCAATACCCAATCAATCGCCTCAGGAACATCGCAATCAGGTAAGTATTTGCTTAGGTACAGTATTATAGCATTTTACACCCCTCAAATTTTCAGGCCAAACTGAATGCCGGATCTCAAAAAATGAAGATCTCCCGACCAAGACAGGAGCAGCGATCATCAAAGAGACAATCCATGGGAGTAAGTGAGGTGGCTAGGATCAAGAGGAGCAAGAGAGGTTTTCATTGTCTCTTGCTAGAACATGCCGCTGTCGCTTGATTCAAGCTACACATTGGCGACCTAAAGAAACTTGCCACCTGAGAGTCAAGAAAAGGCTGATTCACAAGGGACTGAATATTGAGACAGTCCCCAGAGCAGCAGCAGTCATAGTGACGATACTTTTTAACGTCTCAAACTAAAGACGGCGCCAGTATATAGTGGATTGAGTGAGTGAGTGAGTGAGTGAGTGAGTGAGTGAATGAGTGAGTGAGTGAGTGAGTATAAGCGAGTGAGGGTCACGTATTTTACAAGGTCTGTTAGACTATTCTTGTCAATCATCTTTCAGGAACGCTAAAACGCAGTATATATTTCTCGTTGACGTGGATTTTGTTCCTTCACCCTATTTGGAAATCGTTGCACGGTAAGCAAGTGCATTGTAAAAGCTTTCACAAAACTATCTCACTTAAGCATGTCCTCTTCACTGCGCAAGGGAACATAAATATTTTTCCGCTAACTGACTTTCTGAAATTCTTTTCAGAGATAATATCATTGAGTACAATAAAAAAAGAAATAATACAGATGACAAGGTGGCCTTTGTTGTTCCTGCATTTGATGGTGCAAGAAATCTGGTTGGTCAATTCAAACTGTATTCAATTAAGTAAACTTTACACACACACACACACACACACACAAAAACAGTTAACAAGGCTGTCCACTGATTGCAAAAATACTCTAACTAGCAGAGCTGCACTGTCATCATCCTATTTGTTCTTCGATTCAATTCTGTCTTTCTTTAATCATGAGATTCTAAGAGTATTCCTTTAGATAAACTATTTAGATATGCGACGCATAGCCCGCACACATGAAGTTTGGGAGTATCCCTGTGGAGAGACGACAAAGGGGGAACGCGATTTAACCGTCGTCTTGACAGTTTACATTGCGCGTTGAAGCGGTTTTGAGTACGGTTCTTGGCTGCTGACTTTCCTTGTAGTGCCCAAGTCCCTGGATTTACGAAAACGAAACCCGTTGCCTCTGCAACTATGGTCTGTTTTTGATTGACTTGAGGAGGACAAATTTTCATAGTAAAAATCATGGTATTAGGTTCTGTTTCCTAGCTGTAGATCTTAGACATGTAGGTTTATTTCGTAGGATTTAGCCAGCGTAGCCTGCGTATAGCAAGCATTTCCGTGTGGTTTCGGAGCAAAGAACGTAACGAGGAACGAGAGTCAAAGACCGCGCGAACTAAGTAGGATGAAATAAAATTATTTTCACTCCACTCTCTTGCAGTTTACAAGAGAACTCCCGGAGACAAAAGAGAAGCTCGTCAAAATGGTAAAAAGAAAAAGGAAACTGTCTCCATTTAGTATCCTTCGTATAATACTTTAATCTCTTAACATTGCTCTTCTGAAAAAAAAATTCACAGCACCCATGCATAAAAAAGGTAGAGATGAAAATTAAGTCATTTTTCTAAAAGTTTTAAGTCACATGATAGCGCTATTTGGAAGACCTTGAAATGGTTCCTGTCACTGTAATGGCGAAGTACGATATTTGACTAAGCCTGCATGCTACTTTATATCTTCTGAACCCCTATAGGTACAAAAGTAGTCCGTATGAGCCTTGGAGTCTTCTAAGTACTTAAACTACCATAATTTCATGGGGCCAAATCAATGCAATTTAGGTAGTGTACATCTCAATCAGCCGTTAGGTTTTCAAAATACGTCAACTCTGATTCTGAATAAGGTAATGAGATTTGGCCAAGCCTTTTTTTTTTTAATCGTTTCAAAGCTATAAATGCAACCCGAAACTAGAAGCAGGGGCACCCAACGAGAATATAGTTTAAAACCACTTAAACATGACATTGTTAAACGTATTTTAGTATTAATGGTAGATATAGGCATATTTTTATCCCCTAAAAATATTTCACCTGTTCGGATTTCCCAGCTGAAAGTCTAGTGATCCGAAAATTAAAGGGATCAAAACTGACCTTTTCGAAAATTTCAGCTAGAAAAAAGGCTCTCGGAAATTCTAGGTGACCTTGTTAGGGTAAAAATCCGTTAAAAATGGGCAATTATACCATTTTTTAGATGTTCGAAAATCCTAGGAGAGGCAGGCAAGCAATTATAAATTTTACAACAAGTGTTCCGAGAATTCTAGATCTGAAAACGTCTTCCGAACAGATATCTTCTGAAAATTGACGTTGGGTACCCCTGTAGAAGGTCTCTTTAATTACTGTCGATTATTTCCGATTTATTAGAAAGCCCCTATACCCATGATCTCCACTGTTATATTACAAGCGTGACTCCTTGACCACCTCCCAGGGCAGATCGAGTCTCCATTATCTCATAGCTCTACAAACTATAGCAAGTGGTACAACTCCAACGAGTCGTATGAAGTCAGCGGCTACCAGGACAAATACGAACCTTATTTGATTCTTAGGTGCTGTTACATATCTTAATATGCAAATGATTTTAAATACCAAAGTTAGTCTTTGGATCAGGAATAAAACTGAATGCCTTGTAGGAATTCCTTATGTTTCTGGTATCTGCTCGACCTTAATTGACGTTTCAAGTCAAGTTACCCCTTCCATCCCCCAGGCGTTGGTTGTTATTACTACGAGTATTCATAGCTTTTACTGGACTTTATACTACTTTGACCTTGTATTTAGCAGAGAATCTGCGGTTTATAAGTACATTATCAATTTTAATTGATTTCAGTTGGTATCAAAATACCATCTTAAAAAAAGACACAGACATTTATTCCCTCATTGAGGGTCTGGATTGGAGCGTTTCTGTGGAACTTACAATCCTCCAGCGATTTACTCGTGTAACACGTCTTCCACCATTGCTTTGCGCTAACTATACCAGTAGAACATTTCTTTAAGATTGCAACGTTAACAAAGCACTCGTTTATTTGCAGAATGACTCCTGAACTGCCACTCTATGACGAGAGATTTACGGGCTATGGCATGAATAAGATTTCACATATTATAGAGCTAACGATTTTGAGGTATATTCCCCTTTTTCGTTCCTTTTTTTTCTTTCTTAACTTTACATCACTGCTAAACATTCGGATTTTCTCAATTATTATCGCGCTTTCCGAAAAGTTATGGAATTAGGCAAGATATAAAATGGTGAAAGTAGGTTTTTAAAACGCTTGTCTTTTAGGCGATCTGGATGCCTGAGATCTCACTATCGGTTTAGGTGCCATTGTTGTTTTCAACACCAAATTCGTCTATCGTAAACCTTCTACTACAACCTTACTTTTTCCATAAAGCTTCGCTTTTACAATCAGAATACTCCAGAATGTGTGGAAAAATAAATTATAGATTTAACAATACAGAGATATAACAACACAGTCACTTTTCAATAAATGATAATAATAAATTGACTTTTATCTGAGTTTACTGTACTTTAATTCTTAGGTATAAATTTATTGTTTTGCCTGATGTGTGGATTGTCCATCGGTATCATAGATTGTCACCCTTGTCATTTGCTCACATGACGGTAAGTTATCTGAAAAATAAGTGTCTAATTCATCATTTGTGACTTCACAGCACAAAAACCAACAGGGTAACCTAAAGATTTTTGGCAAATCCGGCAAATGCCAACACTATGGAGACCGGGCAATATTGCGGACTTAAAATACAGTTTTTAGAGTGTTTTCATTGACTCAAGTAATAAGCAGCTTTGTAAATTAATTGGGCCATTTATATTGCAAAGAGAATAGAGAAACAATTACAATAAAAAAGAGTTCAATTACCACATGGTTGATTAGTGAACCGACATAACCGGAGTGATGACGTGCAAAAACGCTCTACTAACTTTAGTTTTTGTCACTATTATATTTGCAGGATCCTGACATTCGCTTCAAAAACAGACTGAAGCGTTTTGAATTTATCAACGATTTGTACACTAAATACAAGATAGGACAGTGCAATTCGTCAATGTCTATATCATCATCGTCATCATCATCATCATTAGATTCAAGCGCATTTCCGCCTAGTGGAGAATAGTGCACGTACCCTGTGCGTCAAAGAGGCAGCTTGAAAAGAAGCATTACCCTACACTGATTTTTGTGAAAAACAACTTCTTAGCTCACTTAAAGCCACAAGATTGAGTTTATTGAGAGTTATACCGGAAAACTCTCTCGAAAGATTTATGAATATTTCACATCACTCAACGCATGCCTCTTCAGGGCATTATTATAATAGACAGGATGAGAAGTGCATATGTGCAAGACGCGATTTTAGAGCTCACCATTAAGATTGATATAGCAATTGAGGATAAGAGGCCTCTCTTGTTTGAAGCCCTGAACCTTGAGTCGAAATTTATATATTAGAGTAGGCGTCTAAATTTTCGTTCAGTTAAGGCAGGGGCGGATCCAGGATTTTTCTTAGGAGGGGGTGCACACTAAGGAATGGCGTAACTGATTGATGACGTATAAACAAATTTTAAAAGCGAATACGAAGACGAAGGCTTTTGACTAGGCAATAACATAATGTGAACTGCGGAGAATACAAATCATGCATATCTCCGGCCATATCTTGCAGAATACCAGTTGAATTAGAAAGCTGCAGTTCATCTCGGAAGGGGGGGTGAGTACCCCCGGTACCCTCCCCCTAGATCCGTCCCTGTAAGGTGGTTCCGTGTGAACGAACACCTATTTATAAACGCACGAATTTTCAACCAATCGAAAATTCGTCCAGTGCCACGTGTGATCGTAGCCTTACTTATACACCTAAATGACGAACTTAAGAAAACAAGAGAAAAAATAATGTTGAAAATAGTGATATTAGAGCGCTTTTCGTATGACCTTGAAATGGAATGGCGCAAAGAAAACCGAAACAACAAACGAACGGAAATAGAGCGATTTCATTGGTTTAGCGAACGGATACAAACGCGCGTGACTGCTCGTGTGAACTTTATAGCAATCAATGGATACTTCACTTTGACGTCATACTGTAACACAATTGGCCAATCGAACAATGCCTTTCCATATTAGGGTTTTTGTTTGGCGGGAAAACGAACAACCTCGTCCCCAGGGCCCTAGACAGGGAAAAGAGCCGTGGGAACGAGGATGCGAAAACGAGGAGTCCATGTTTTGATTTTTCATCATCCTCGGGTAATAAAACAAATAACAGACACTTACAGAAACCATTTTTCACGGTCATACGAAAATTGAATCGCTCTATCAATGTCTATTATTGCACTTTTTCAAACGATCAAACACTTTATGCCTCAGTCGGTGGCACTAGACAAAAGGCCTCGACATATTAAAGTTAGTCCTTTTAAGACGAATCTTCAGTTTTAGAGAAGATAAACTAAAGGAGTGACAAACGCGTTTTCTTGGAGGAAAACAACAATGACTTGATTTTGACCAAAGGAACTGTAGAAACATGGCGAAAAACACCCTTCGGGATTTATTATTTTGTTAGTTTCGATTTCCTATCTTAACGGACAGAGCAGGCTAACCAAGGAACGAAAACATGGGGAGGGCGGGATAGTCACAAGTTGAGAGAACAGATGTAGAAAAGATAACTTTCGATATGCTTAGTCGCAGTCGTGTTTTTGGTTTAATGGTTGAAGTAACATAAATCCTCTATTACGTCCCCCCCTTTTTCACAGGAAGAAAGCTATTAGCCCTTCTTCTCTTCTTGAGGCCCCTTCCCCCCATATTCTTAATTGATAGACTGTGTAACCGAAGTCACGCGTATTAGTGTCCAACCGCTTTATTTTATAAATCACACTCCTACGGTACTGTACAACCAAAAATACAAAGAATACGAAATTACGAAAAATGTAGAAATCAGTACAAAATAACAAATACATCAAAGAAAACGGAAAAGCGTACAAATGGCGTATGACTAAAATTTACCTTAACGGTTTCTTGACTTAACGTTAAACGGAATGAGCTGTTCTTGACCGATAAAAACTGTAAAAACACTGACCGTCAAGACTAAGTTTATACCAAAAAACTTGACAGATTACGTAACATTACGCAACGATGGTGACACCAAAAAGAAAGTAAACAATATAACAAAAGAAAACTATAAACAATTACAACTAATTGCAAGTAGACGCGAACAAAAAAAACAAAGAAAACCCTAAGTTCTAGAAGTTTCGCTTTAACAGACTGTATCTCTTCATATGGACTAATCTAGTATGGTTTATTCACATGTAGGAAGTCTGGATTTGTTTTGATCCTTGGCTGCACTGACGAAATCCAACTTCTGATGTGGCTTGGCCTGTGGGGGTATTCCCGGGGATTTTTGGTAGCTCCGAATCCTGACGTTATTTCAGACTGAAGAATGTTATTTTCCATACCCCTTTTCAGACCTGGTATATGTAGAAATTAAGTCATCATTTTCAAACTAAAGCTCAGACAAAAAGATTTCTTAAAATCCATTTCGAATTTGCATATTACTCTTTCTTTCTGATTCATTTGGAATTGAAAGGATAAATATGTTCATACACTTCCGTAGTTTCTTCGAAAACCATACCCCATTTCATTCCAAAATGAGTAAAATTTATACCCGTTTTCAGATCGATGCGGCAGCAAAAACATACCCTTTGGGGCGGCACATTCCTATATTGCTTATATAAGGGAGTATCCCCTCGGGAGGCCTGGCTTTTCCACTTTGCGTTCTGGTTAATTCTATGAAACAATCATCTAAAAAAATAAGTTCTCCTTTCTATTAACCCTGCCCAACCTCTGAAACGTGCTTGAAATGAATAAGCCCCCGGAGTGTTAAATAGAGGATTTGTGGTTAGCTATAACGAATTATAATACCAACGTTTTTTAATTCATGTGAGTCTTGGTACCATACGTACCTAGGTGAAGCCTTAGGCAAGTGTTAACGTCCACCGGATACGAGATCCGGGTCTTGTGGGTTGTCTAACTTGCTTGTTATCTTGTTTCTCAGTTCCACGCTCCAAACAGCCGAACAGAGGCAAACATTTCTAATAGGAAAAATAAAACAACAAGAAAGTCTTGTTGGGCCGAGGTGTGAAACACTGAGTAACAAAGTTTATTTTGAAATATGGAAAAGTGTACGTGATCATTATTAAGTATCTAGCCTTTTTTGATAATATGCATGATTATGCATTGTACTTAACTAAATGTCTTCTCACTGGCTAAGCGCCTACCGTTAAATTTAGATATCAGCACACCCAAAATATAATTCACTAATATATTAGTAGATAAGAAGGTTGCAACGACAAGGCGTGAGCCTGCGTGAGGAGGAAATAAGACTGCGAGCGGTCGTCAATCTTTCCTCAGAGCCACGCACGGCGAGCGAAAAAGTCAAATTATGCTTTCTACCAGAACTGTCTCGACCTACTGTGACTCAGAAATAGAGAAATGAGAGAAATAAGAGACTGCTTGCAATCTAGGATCGACTAGGAGGCTATTAATTCTGCACCAAAAAGGATTTCCTTGCTAAATGTTTTTCACTTCAACCTTTATCGACGGTTGAGTATTCTTCAGGATATTTATTTTTTTATATCGTGTGTGTAAATGCATACCCTGCGAGCAGAGTCTCCTTCTAGGAAGAGCGAAGGAGACTCTGTTCGCAGGGTATTGAATGCACGAAAATCAAGGAAACCTGTAACCTGAGATCATGCGTAATTTTTTTTTTTTGCTTCTTTGGCTCGAGAAGGAAAAAAAAGGCAGATTACAGAGATAAAGGGAGAGGGCATGATCGCAGGCTAGGAAACCTGATGAATGTGGTACGTCATTTCAATCGTCGCCGAAAATAAACCGCATGTTCATCAGAAGACTCATTTGTAATACTATCACGATGAGCCGCAAGCAGTAAAATTTCTGTCCCGTAATTTAATCAGTTAAATCATCAAAGTTGACAGGTCTTCCTGATGATCAAAGCGACCGTTCGGTTTACCATTTACACCTTCAGTGCGAAGACTGTCACGGGAACATTAACACCTTCAGGATAATTGCTTACCATAACAGTGGTAGGTCGCGCGCGTCTGGCCGGTTTCGAAGAACGTGATCGTGACTGTTGTTTTTATTCAGTGACTGTGCGCGTTGATATGCCAACTTTTAAAACAGACTGCAACATTAAATTTTTGTTATAAAAGCAAAGAAGCTGCTGAGTAGAAACTAAACCGTCCCAGACTTATTCCGTTTCATTCGTGTACTTTCATTTTGATGGGGTCTGTATGATGAATTTACTTCTGCCTTCTAATCAGGCACGTAAACAACATAGAGATAAAACATTTCATTTTGCTTTTGTGGAGTTAAAATTAATCTTAAAAAAGTTAAATTAGTGGACCACTTTCTCCGCGTACTTGTAAAAATAGGCATTTAATGTGTCGCGCTACAGTGCGAAAATCTTCTTGTCGTGGATTAGATTTCAGTATACATATTCTTCATTTCGCGCCAGAATAAATTAATTTGCGCGCAAAGGGCTTCTAAAAAAAGATCACAGGGTTTGTCCCACGTCGAGTCCTCCTTCTGGAGAACTTGGAGATACGCCGGCATGGTATCTGGAATACATTGCCGAGGCGAAGATCTGGCATTTTTTCCTCCTCGTCTTTTTTTCTCCGCGACGTTTGTTTATATTTGTAGTGAGAATGCCGCGCATATCGGTGGATTTTACTTCAGTCAAGCGGCTTCAGTTCCTGCGGCTTGCTACTCATCATAAAGAAGAGTGCCGGAATCGCTTTTTTCGCCTTTAACGGATTTGTTGTCGAATGCAAGGTAAAAGAACGGACTACTGTAAGGTAAGAATTGAAGTTTAAATTTGTTTCTCGGCGAAAAATAGTGCATACAACTCGTGAAACCCGTGAGTATTACCTCTGTTTAATATACCGGATGTCATGCGATGACCCCTCGCTTTTACGATGGATAGGATGGATACAAACAATAATTTCTTTCGCAACGTTTAGTATCATTTACTTAATATGGAGATCATCTGAGGAC